AGATGTTTAGCTTCCCATCCAGGAATCTTTTTCAATTCTCTATTCCTGATATTTTGAATTAAACAACGTCCAGTGGATTGCTTTTAATTTTCTTTTTTTTTTGGTATGATACAGCTGCAAATAAGTATTTGAGCACCTGAAAACATTTATGTTAATATTTGCTACAGTAGCCTTTGTTTGCAATTGCAGAGGTCAAAAGTTTGTTTTTAATTTTGGCCCACTCCGCCACACAGATCTTCCTCTAGATCACTCAGGTTTCTGGGATGTTGCTGAGAATTACAGAGTTTGAGCTCCCTCCAAAGGTTCTCTATTGGGTTTAGGTCTGGAGATTGACTAGGCCATGCCCTTACCTTGATACGCCTCTTGCAGAGCCACTCCTTGGTTACACATTTAAAGGTTGCCATGTTTGAAACCCATGGTGGGAACCTGGGGACTGAATTTGCAAACTTACTTGCAAAAATTTGGACTTCAACATTTTATCCATTTCTTTAAAACATAGGTCATTGTAGCTTTGGATTCTCTCTGCATGGACAAGCTTGAAAGGTTCAGTTTAGGCAACTGGACATGAAGTTTTCTATAAGACCTTTCGCCTCTCATCCAAGAGGCATCTTCAATTCTAACTGGTGGTGTGGAGCACTGAGATTAATTTACTGTAGGTCTAACAAAGAATTAGGATGAACAAAAGGTGGCTCTGATTCCTCCTACTGGATTGGACATGTAAGTTACCTGGGGTGTTAATGGTTGATAGGAGGTTCTAATGGGTCATTAACACCCTCATCAGAGTGGTTTCTCCTCACATGCCTCTCTGAAGTATGATTGAGGGCCGGTGAGAGGGAAATTTTCTGGGTATTATTGCTAAAAGTCCTTTGTACGAAGGTGAAAGGTTATGTCTAAGACCACCTCCTCTGTTAAGACATGGTTTTCCAGATAAACAAAGATTGCTTCCTTAAACCCTCTCTCAATCCATCTTTCTTCCTTGGCCAGAATATGGACGTTATTGTCCTCAAACAAATGTCCTTTTGCCTTTAGGTAGACCTTTTACCTTTTGCGTGAGGTTCAGGTAAATTAGTTCATAGATGCTCGTAGCTCTGCTTAGACACCAGGATTTGCTCACAAACATCTCACGAGGGCCAACTGAATTTCAAACACATAGGATTTTCTCCCGACCTCACGATTCCTGATCCGGATGTGGTCGTGAGAGGATAGTTGCCCTTCGTTACGCCCTGTATACACTACGCAGGACACGCGATGACGCTGAAACTTGGCCAAACTGAAACTTGCACAACTGGAAAATCAGCCTGAAAAGAACAAAAACTCCCACAGTGTATGCTCAACTTTAGTTAACTAGAGTTAAAATGTGATAATACAGTGACATCTGTTGTGATTTTGGTTAATTATTAGTAATTACTGTTAGGTTTATTCAATGATGATTACAAAATTAATGTATGTACCTATAAAACATTGAAGAAATCAGATGCTTCACTCTGTCTGGTTATTCAGTCAGTGGAGCATTCTGTCTTATGACCTGATCAATTGTCCTGTCAGAAGAATACTCTGTTTTGTAACCATGTGTTATGTTCTGTTAATAAAAGGGCACTGCAGGAGGGGGGTCCGAGAGAGAATTGGAAAGTTGGGTTTGGCTCTTTCCCCTCCTGCAGGAGCTGTTGAGAATCTCTTTCCTGTGTGGACTCAGTTCCTCTTTTACGGACCTACATTTTTTAACCTAACAATTACCAAACTATAATTTTTTATATTGAATAGTGATTTAACAAACCCAAGTTCACACCAGGTCTTTACAACCATATATGCTAATAAATACAGTAAATAATTGTTAATTAGTCATCAAAATAGTTCATTTTCATGGGCAAATGCCCTATTTATTAAAATTTATCTGTTATTTCAGTACAATGTTTAGGTACACTCTCAGTAGTTCCCAACCTTGGTCCTCAAGGACCCTGTACTGCATGTTTTCAGTGTCTCCTTCCTGTTTAAGTAAAGTCGGATCTCTTTGTGTTTCCATCCAGCATCCATCTCTTTAGTGGAAACTGTGAGTCTCCTCTCCCTCCAACTCTTCGTCCCTCTGAATCCGGCACCGCACTCTTCATCAAAAAACCCCACGCGGCCTGTGGTTCCGTAGCTGTCTTCACATACGACATCATTCAGGCGTCCACCAAGCATAACCAAGGCCGGCTGGCTGTCATGTTCTCCAATCCGTACGACTTCAACATGTACTCCAACTGGTATGCCATTGGAGCATTCAGCAAGGACAAGCGTTGCGACGAGGAGCTGTACAAGGAAATGTACTATGGGCAACAGCTCGGCTTTGTCCGCGGTAAAGCCAAGGGCCCCAGCCTGACCCACAAAGTGGGCCGTTTGACCATCAGGGCCAGCATGTCTGACAGCTATCAGCCTGTCCTGAAGGTGGAACTTTGCAACAACTAAGACTGGCTGCTTCTGTTTTATGCAGTTTTTGATCTAACTCAAATATTTTTTTTGCAAAAGCTTGTCCTTTTATAGCATAACCATCATCTTTGTCTTCATTAATACCAGTTATTTCTTTCCCAGTTTAAATACTATAAACCATCTATCCAGCATTTGCTTTTCTATCTGTTCTCACCACAGCTTCACAGCTTCCCCAGTGAACATTTAGAAAGTGATCATGTTCTAAATAATCAGTCATCTTTCCAATCTGGAATTTTTTCCTAAATTGGAGAAAAAACACTCTTCAATGTTCGTTAAAACGGCCAACTGATTCAGAGTTTTCCTCTGAACCCCAACAGCTAAATGAAATCCTGATGCTAATCAGACCACATGAAACATGGGACCTGGTTAAAGTGTATCAGCACACGCGTGGATGAAGTAGGATTACAACTGACAGAGTTGATGAAACTGAGTTTAAAAAGTGTTCAGTGTTGCAATGTACGAAATTGGACTGGATGTAACTGGGCTACAATGTGTGTCTCTGTCACTACCATAGCACACATTTAATTGAACCAAAATGAACACCTTATATCAGGATCAAATGAGTTGAGCTGTTCTGAATCAGTTCATTGTTGTCTGATCAAAACGTTTCAGAAACATCCCCATCCTTTCTGTCTGCACTCTCTCATTTTGTCCAATGTCTGAGTATCAGATCAGCACACAGATACCATGAGGAGATCTGATGGCCCTGATGCCTTACAGCTGCTGTTACAATCTGAACGTTCTGACCCAATAAAAGCTGAACTTTAATGTGTTTTACTGTTGTCTGTTGGTCTCAATGTGTTTTAATGTAAG